CCTGTAATCCTAGTGCTTCGGGAAGCAGAGGTGGGAGGACTACTTGAGACTAGGAGTTCCATCTAGACAACATAGTGAGACCCTATCTCTACAAAAAAAATTTTTTTAATTAGCAGGGCACGGTGATGTGTCTGTGGTCCTGCCTACTGAGGAGGCTGAGGTGGGAGGATTGCCTGAGCCTAGAGGTCAAGGCTGCAGTGAACCATAATTTCACCACTGCACTTCAGCCTAGGCAAAAGAGGAAAACCCTGTCTCAAAAAAATAAATGTCCAAATGAATGGACAGATGCACAATGTTCAAAGACTGGAAGATTTTATTGTAATGATGTCAATTATCTTCTAACTCATTTGTAAATTCAGTGTAATCCAAATCAAAACCCTAATAGCTATTGCTGCTTTTTAATTTTTATTTTTGGAACTCGACAAGTTGATCTTAAAATTCATAAAAAATACAAATGGTCAAGAACTGCCAAGACAGTCTTGAAGAAGAAAAAGATAAAAAAGACTATAGCAGAGACTGACTTCTGGTAATAACAAAAGGAGACAACTAGACCAATGTAGCAAAGCCCAGAAAAATAAGTCCAGTAAATATTAAGCTCCACTGGGCGTGGTGGCTCACACTTGTAATCCAGTACTTTGGGAGGCCAAGGCAGACAGATCACTTGAGGTCAGGAGTTCGAGACCAGCCTCACCAACATGGCAAAACTCCGTGTCTACAAAAAAATATAAAAAAATTAGCTAGATGTGGTGGTGCACATCTACAGCCCCAGCTACTCAAGATACTGAGGCATGAGAATTGCTTGAACCTGAGAGTCAAAGGTTGCAGCCAGCCAGACTGTGCTACTGCACTCCAGTCTGGGCAACAGAGTAAGGCTCTGTCTCATAAAAACAAATGAACAAACAAAAACTTAAGTTAGCAATATGAATAAATGAATAAAAGTGATGATGGTAAGAAACCTCATCTTCCCAGGTGTGAACCAGTGTTCTCAGCTGAGAAAAAACACTCTTTTCTTTTTTTGGAGATGGAGTCTCGCTCTGCTGCCCAGGCTGGGGTGCGATAGCACGATCTTGGCTCACAGAAGCCTCCGCTTCCCAGGTTCAAGCAATTCTCCTGCCTCAGCCTCCCAAGTAGCTGGGACAACAGGGATGAGCCACCATGTCCAGCTAATTTTTGTATTTGTAGTAGACATGGAGTTTCACCATGTTGGCCAGGATGGTCTCGAACTCCCGACCTCAAATGATCCTCCCACCTTGGCCTCCCAAAGTGCTGGGATTACAGGCATCAGCCACCACACCCAGCCAAGAAAAACATTCTTGGTAATAAAATGCTAGCTAATAAAGGTTAAAAAAAAATGATGGAATTAGCAAATTACCTCATGGCAACCATCACAGTAAGAAATAATTTTGGTAACAGATGTGAAAAATAAAAGGTAAAAAATGTTAAGAACAGGGTATTTATCATCTAAATCGGTAAATCATTAAAAAAAGAAAAATAGTAACATTACAGGGTAGAAACCTACAAGATCACTTAAATAAATGATCAAAGCTAACACAAGAAAAAGAATAAATTAACATCATGTGTCTCCTAATGTAATGAGGTAGAAAAGACACAAAATTATTTCTGTAGTATTTCCATTCAAAAACGCATATTATGATAAGGAAAAAACAAATATCTATATGGAAAGACATTCTACAAAAAACGTCCTCCCTATACTCTTCAGAAATGAAACAGTCCAACCTGGGCAACACAGTGAGACTCTGACTCTACAATAAAATAAAAATAAAAATTAGCCGGTGTGATGGAGAGTGCCTATAGTCCCAGCTACCCGAAGGCTGCGGTACAAGGATTACTTGAGCCCAGGAGGTTGAGGTTGCAGTTAGCTGTGATAATACCACTGCACTTGAGCCTGGGCAACAGAGTGGGTCCCTGTCTCAGCGGGGGAGGCGGGGTGGGGCACAGAGAAGCAATAGTTATGAAAGACACAGAATTTAAAAAATGTTCTGAATTAAATGACTCAAAAGAAACATGACAAATAAATTAGCCCAATACTTATTTGGATCTTTACCAGAAAAAATTCTGGGAGAAATTTATTTGCAACACAAGTAACACAAAATGGACTAGTATCTAGAATACACAAAGAATTCCTACAATTAAGTAAGAAAAGAATGAGAACTACAGCACAAAAATAGAGAAAAGAATTGAACAGGGATGAGGTGAAGTGTAAAAGACTACACATTGGGTACAGTGTATACTGCTTAGGTGATTGGTGCACCAAAATTTTAGAAATCAGTACTAAAGAACATATTCATGTAATTAATAAATAAATAGAATTGAATACAAAATTTATAAGGATGAAAAATAAATAAAAATATGTTCAGCCTCATTAGTAATTAGGAAAATGCAAGTGAAAACTATGTTAAGATACCATTAAACATACACTAGAATAAAAAGAATGAAAACATCTCACTCCCTTCATAGAAGATAGCTTAAAAAATTTTAATCTCACAATGCAGTTATAAACTGGTGCAATCATTTTGAAAACTGGCATTATTAATGAAACTGAAGAAATATGTTCTCTATGACCCAACAATTCCTTTCCTACGTACTTCTTGGAGAAAACTCTTGTCCGACAGACAAGAATGTTGATAGTAACATCAAACTAAAAACAACCAAAATATTTATCAACAGTAAAATGCATCAACAAACCAAGATATATATGATATATTCTTCCAGTGGGATACTATAGACTTGACCATGCTGAGAATGAACAACAGCCACATGTATGAATATGGATGAATCACCAAAGATACACAGAGCAAACAAAGTCACAAGAGAAAACCAGCAAGAGTCCATTTATGTAAAGTTCTAAATACAGCTTTAAAAAAAATTTTAAAGTTGCATTTAGGGATATAGAATGAGTGGCAAAAAAACAACAGGAAAACAAAAAAGCAAGAGAATGATTATCATCAAATTTGGAACTGTGGTTATCTTGGGGAAGGGAGAGTGAAAAAAACTGATGAAGAAAGGTACACAGTGTGCTTCTTCAGTATGTATAAATATTTTATTTCTTAACCTGGCTGGTAATCACATGGGTGTTTAAATACTTAGGTGTTTTATAAGTTTTTCTATAGGTATAACAAGTGTCACTAAAAGCAAAAACATAGTGCTTGTGACTCAGCTCTAGAAACTGTAAAGGGCAACCTTTATAAGAGAAAGAACAGCCAGTGAAGTAGGAAGAAAGTAAGGAGAGCAGTGTTTCAGAAGCCAAGAGAAAAAAGAAGGGAATAGTGAAACTTTGTCAAATATTAGTGAGAAGCAAAGTAGAGAAACTTTCAAACAATATATAAAGTGCACTGTTCTCTGTCTGATGAACCACTTATTCTGGGATGTAGACATTGTTTTGCAGTGACTAAGGATTAATAACATTAATGAGAAAGGATATAAACATTCTGACATTTTACATTCAGAAATCAAAATTCTTAACCATATTTTTAAAATGTCCTCCTCCCATCATACAGAACGATCGCACCAAGAGTATATAATTAATTATTAGAACAAGTGAATTCTGACATTTGATAGCTGAGTTTTGGCAAACTTTAATTTGCCCCATTATATATATTTTTTTGCTTTGTTATTGAAACGGTAATGACAAAGACCTTTGGCTCTGCCAAATCAGATAAGTAAGTTAGGGGCTGGTAACAAATATAAAACACAAAAATTTGGTCAAAGAAGCCGAAACAGTAATTTCAACAATATTAGAAAGATGAATTGAAGCATTTGGCTTTTTAAATGAAAAACAATAAAAAAGCTTTCACTTTAAAGTAATGAACTATTTTCTAGAAAAGTTTGGACAATCATTTGATTGTCTTAATTTTATAATTGATTGTCTTAATTCTTTTCATTTTCTCACCTATAAAATATGATGAACTAAATACTATTAAAGTCCCAGTCAGCAATATTTTATGGTGTTATTTGGGAAAGGAAAAATCAATCACAAAAGGTAGTAATACTTTTTCTAAATAATAAACCACACATTTGAGACCTGTAATATCAAACGTAGCACATATTAACCTAGTAAGATACTCAAGCCAGGCCGTCCATTGTTTTTTCCTTTAGGGCCGGGCGCGGTGGCTCACACCTGTAATACCAGCACTTTGGGAGGCCGAGATGGGTGGATCACAAGGTCAAGAGATTGAGACCATCCTAGTCAACATGGTGAAACCCCGTCTCTACTAAAAATACAAAAAATTAGCTGGGCACAGTGGCGCGTGCCTGTAATCCCAGCTACTCAGGAGGCTGAGGCAGGAGAATTGCCTCAACCCAGGAGGCGGGGGTTGCAGTGAGCCGAGATCGCGCCATTGCACTCCAGCCTGGATAACAAGGACGAAACTCCGTCTCAAAAAAAAAAAGTGAGGGTTACTTTAAATAAAAGAGGAGGCTCTTCAAAGCTACAATTTGCAGAGACAATTTAGAAGGCTGTATTTTTACTAATACAAAATGCAACTTCACACATGCTGAAGATACAGCTGGAAGTTCTAAAGTTTAAAAAATCAAAACAAAATAAATCTTATTTGGATAAAAGAAGATCACAGTATTCATTTAGGTTTGATTTAAAATATCATTACCTAAAAAGGGAAAAGTATTTTTCTCAAGAGCATATACAGCAAAATTCTTTTGGCTATAAACTAGCATATTTAAATTAATGTTAATAAGACTATTCATTAGAAGCAAATGGTTTGTGGCTTTTAAAGAATTAGTAATATTAATGTTAGAAAATAAATGTGTAACTCAATTTCAGATATTCATTTGTTTTGTCAACTAACAGAACCTCCTAATATTAATATTTAATTAATGGGCATACTTTGTTCCACGATTCTTGCTTTCCTTTATAAATCCTGAGAGAACTGAACGAGAAAATGGCTTACTAACATACATGGCTTAATAAATGAAACCTGTAACTTCAGAAAACTTGCTTTGTGACCCAAAAAGGAACTACTCACCAAAAGCAGCAGCCATAGCAGGTTCAAGGGATGGCTGGCCATCACCAGTAGGAAGGTCTAAGCGAGTGAAGTCTCTGCTTTTGTCATTATTATATTTCACATTAAGGCTGGTGAGCTTGGAGAAGTCAATACGCAGGGTGCAGCATGCATTATAGATATTCTGGCCATCCAGAGCCTAAAGCATGTAAGAAAGGGACTGGTTTTGGCAAGACAACAACACTGACAACCAAGAAGCCTCTGCTGACAAAGAGGGGCAATCAGGTGTGAGGCAGAAAGCACTGACTAAAAAGCCAAAGTCGGGTTTATTTTTACCTCACAGTCATTAACTATGAGTCTGAGAAAAAGAAAATCTCTAAGTCTCAATTTTTATCTGTAAAATAAGGCTGATAGTATTTATCTCGTCTGTGGTAAGATCAAATAAGAGAGGAGAAATGTGAAAAACTGGAAAACTATTATCTATCACAGAAGTGTTCACTATTATGATTATTTTGCCTGTACCAAAGGTTTTAAGATACTTGGATTTTACATTCCATTTTAATTCATTTTAGTATAATTCACATTATACTAGGATGTATAAGCTTTGTTAGGATGAAACAAAGCTTTTGTAATTGCTACCTGTCAGAGCCACAATATATAAAATATTATCTATCACTTATTTTTTTCTCTTGTAAATTTACTTTGTAATACTTTGAATAATAAACTGAGGGAAATGTGGAATCAGTTGTGACCAAAGATTAGCAATCCCTTCCTTTGCAAGAATAAAAATTTACCTTAGGGTATTTGTGGCCACTTACGACATTTGCAAATGCTTGAATTTATAAAAAATAGATACCAGAAACCAAAGCACATAAAAATAAAACACATGTAATATAAATCCTGATTTATAATAATGGTCATTGAGAAGTATGCCATCATAAAGGTACAAAATAATAAATGCAAGTTCAGGGTACAGCAAATATAAAGGCTATACTCCCAATCAAGTGCCAGACATAGTGTGGTACAAAAAAGTACTATAAGCCTTAGTCCTCATCTTTGACCAAAACGTAGAAACGACTAGCAAAAACTGCTACAAGATGAAATTAGTCAGGGATACATATCAATAGGAGATATGTCTAAGATAACAGAACTGAATGTCAAGTTTTATACCTTGTCAAAATAGTCAGGTTTTTGTGTTACTAAAAAAAAGACAACATGAATTGACAGCAGCGTATTTCCTAAGATTTAGTATCTCTACCAATTCAGAGTTTGACAGGAATAAACATGGAATATAGCTGCAAAAATGGTGAAATCAATCTCTGACTGATCTAATGGAAGTAAATGGTCTACAGCCATACCACCCTGAATGCGCCTGATCTCAGAAGCTAAGCGGTCGGGCCTGGTTAGTACTTGGATGGGAGAAGTAAATGAAAGTGCAAAGGTAATGATGGCTCTATTAGTCAGCTCACATCAGGAGTACTGTGTTCAACTCCAGACTTTAAACATAATGAACAGGAATTAGTCTCAGAAATGTGAGAGGTGATCGGAGATTTGAGACCATTTCATATGAAGAAGTAATGATTTTTAGCTTAGAAAAAAAAAATACATGGAATCATACACTTTAAAATGACTAAAATGGTAACTATTATGCATATTTTAACACAATTTAAAAAGAAAACACATGGTAAAGTGGGGCATGAGAGAAGATATGATAACTTCCTTCAGGTATCACTGGTGTGATTAACAATTGAAAAATGAAACAAAGATCATAATTACCATTTTGGCATAATGTGCATTTACTGGGTCAGCATACTGAAGCAAGGCTTGAAATTGATTATTCTTTGTAAAGGTGATAATCTTCAAGACTGTGCCAAATTTAGAAAATATCTGGAAAACAGTTCACATTAGGTTACATGTAAGAAAAGTATTAAGCTAATGTATCTTTATAAATACAACTTGGTTCATAAATCCTTTTAAATGAAAATTTTCTCTTTAAAACTGTTGGTAACAAAATGACTTAAGCCTAAAACATCAACATTTTAATACCCATGCCTATCTTAGAATAATGCCTGGCACACAACAGGCACTCAAATAACTAGCCTATTTAATGGCATATATAAACAGCACATTATTAAAATAGGAGGCCACAACAGAAATAATCAACAGGATGAGATGTGTTACAAAGCATACGAATAAAAGTAAGAGTCGTGGGCCAACTATTTCACGCAGTGAAGAAGCCATCCACTTCTTGAGATTTCTGCAGCCACTAAAAGATGTTCGGCTAGAAGCTGCTCTATTAATTTGCCAAATATTCATGGAGGATTGTTCCAAGCACTGGAAAGACAGCAGTAAACAAAACAGAGACAAAACTATGCCCATATGAAGACAGACAATAAAGAAATGACAAACAAATATCCTAATATCTGGTGATTTTAAAAGTCTTAAGAATAAATATAAAAGAAGGGAAGGAATCAGCATGAACCAGAACGCAAGTTGGGATAGTACAAGAGTGGTGGCCAGAGAAGGCCTTTCTGAAATGTGTTTTCAGAGGAAAAGAGGTGAAGGCTTCCTGACACCAATATCCTCACAATACATGTTTCACTTCAGCACCACAAGGGTTCATGGCCAGGGTTACTATTAGTAATTCATTTCTGAAAGACTAAATAGGGGGGATAAAACAACTATAATTTAGTTTTCCTCTGTGGGTATGATTTGGCTCTGTGTCACCACCCAAATCTCACCTCGAATTGCAATTCCCCACATGTTGAAAGAGAGACCTCGTGGGAGGTTATTGGATCATGGAAGCAGTTTCTCCCTTGCTGTTCCTGTGACAGTGAGGGAGTTCTCAAGAGATCTGAAGGTTTTAAAAGTGGCAGCTTCCACTGTGCACTCTCTCCTGCCACCATGTGAAGAAAGTCCTTCCTTCCCCTTCACCTTCTGCCACATTAAGTTTCCGGAGGCCTCCCCAACCATTCAGAACTGTAAGTCAATGAAACCTCTTTTGTTTATAAATTACCCAGTCTCAGGGAGTATCCTTATAGCAGTGTGAAAATGAACTAATATTCACTCCATTTTAAACTTCAATCTTAAAACAGAAATTTGTTCTGCTTTTTTGATTTGAAGGGTAAGTAAGTATTCCCTATACTGGTAATATTTTGCTGTTACTAACCACTTTGGTATGATAATGGCTTCACTGCAGCCTCCACTTCCCAGGCTCCTCCCATCTCAGCCTCCCAAGTAGCTGGTCTACACCACCCCTGGATAATTTTTTATTTTTATGGTTTTATAGAGATGAGGTCTATGTTCGCCAGGCTGGTCTCAAACTCCCAGGCTAATGTGATCCACCCACTTTGGCCTTCCAAAGTGCTGGGATTACAGGTGTGAGCCACCATACCTGGCCCTGCTTTTTAATTCTCAAACAGAAGAATAACTATCCTTCCCTGATAGTCTAATGGTTAGGAAAAAAACAAGAAAGAAACAATATTCTAAAGCACAGGTAATAAAAGAAAAATAGATAAACTGGACTACCTCAAAATTAAACACTTTTGTGCATCAAAGGAAACTATCAACAGAGTGAAATCAAATCATGTATATGATAATGGGTTAATATCCAGAATATATAAAGAACTCATGCAATTTCAACAATACAAACAATGCAACCCAAAAATAGGCAAAGGACTTGAATAGACATTTCTCCAAAAAAGATAATCAAACAGCCAATAAGCCCACAGAAAGATGGGGCTTATTATCAATGTCACTAATCATTAGAAAAATGGAAATCAAAACTACCTATCACCTAACTTCCATTAGGATAGTTACAAAAAAATTTTTAAACCCATAAAATAACAAGTATTGGGGAGGATATGAAGAAAATGGAACCACCATGCACTGTTGGTAGAAATGGAAAATGTTATAGCCACTATGGAAAAAGTATGACCTTTCCCTAAAAAAAGAAAAATAGAATTACCATATAATCCAGCAATTCCATTTCTGGGTATATAGTCAAAAAATTGAAAGCAGGAACTCAAAGAGATACACATATGCCCATGTGCAGAGCAACATTATTCAGAATAGCCAAAACAGGAAGCAACCAAAGTGTTCATCAACGAATAAATGGATAAACAAAATATGACATATATACCTACAACCAAGTATTATTCAGCCTTTTTCAAAAGGAAGGAAAACTCTGAACATGGACGAACCTTCAAGATATCATGCCAGGTGAAATATGCCAGTCACAAAAGCACAAATACTTCATAGTTCCACTTACATGAGGAACCTAAAGTAGTCAAACTCACAGAGACCGAAAATAGACTGGTGATTGCTGAGGGGGGAGAGTAGATAAATAAAGAGTTCTGTTTAATGTCTAAGGAAGTTTCAGTCTGGGAAGATTAAAAATTTCTGGAGACGTGGTATTTGGTGATGGTTGAGAAACAATGTGAATGTACTTAATGTCACACTGAACTACATAATTAAAAATAGTTAAAATGGTAAGTTTTTTGTTATATATATATTTTACCACTTAAATCACTTATGGCAAGACATGAATCAATCTGTATTATACCTGCATCATCTCCATGTTTTCTCTCAATAAAGGAGTAACGTTAGACTTTAAAAAAAGGTTGGGGATGTAATATAATAACTGTCTGACCTCCCTTCTTCATTCCAACCACCCAGGTAGTGTTCTAAATTATAAGTCAGATTATATTTTCCCCTGCTTAAAATCCTTTACTACCTCCCCATTATCTACATGGTAAAAACCTAAGCTCCTTGGTATAACATAACACCCTTGCCCTGGTTTACCTCTCCAACCTCACTTCCTGATGCTTCTTACATCACACTACTCTATTTACATAAACAATATGTAGTTGCCTATAGTTCTCCAAATTTACCAAGTGACTTCAGACTTCTATGCCCATATATGAGGATTCTCCCTTTTCCTATAAATCTATTTAACAGCGTAAGCCTTCATTTATCTTTTCCAAAATTCAGCTCAGGGAACAATGCTACCACAAATTCTCAGCCTCTCCCAAATTCCTATAGAATTATTTTTCCCAAGTATTATCTTACTGTTGTACTTTGCCTCTATTATAAATTTATTTATATATTTGTCTCCTTTAATTAGACTGAAGGCTCCTTGAAGAAATACGCCTTGTCTTAACCATTTCTGCATCATTAAGTACAATTCCTGGCACGTATGAGATACAGACTAAAATGCTTATTATTAACTGATAAAGAATTATAACGAGACCTGGTTGGAGAATTACAGCAATACGCAAATGTTTATTTTCTTTTTAAGAGACAGGGTCTCACCCTGTCACCCATGCTGGTATGCGGTAGCGCCATCATAGTTCACTATAACCTTTAACTCCTGGGCTCAAGCGATCCTCCTGACTTAGTCTCCTGAGTCCTACAGGTGCACACTAACACACATGGCTAATTTTTACATTTTTTGTAGAGATGAAGTCTCGCTACCTTACCCACGCTGGTCTGAAACTCCTGACCTCATGCGATTCTCCTACCTTAGCCTCCAAAAGTACTGCGATTATAGGCATGAGTTACTGTACCCAGCTGGCAATATTTAATTTTTTTTCCTTTTTAAAAAAAATTTTTTAAATTTTTATTTAAAAAAAAAAACACTTCTTTTCATGCCACTAAGTCAGCAATTTTTTAAAATAATATTCTTGATATAAAATATCTCATTAGTGAAGAAATAAAAACACATAATTTGCTCTAAAATTTGGAAAAATTGTATACTAAATTATGCTATAAAACTTAATTTCCACTTACCTTTCAGATTTTGTTAATGTTTACATTCCTTCTCTCATTTAACTTCAACAACGGCCTGAAGCACATCCTCACTGACAGCCTGGTGTTTTGCTGTGTGATTTTTATCTGAATGTACTAAGAGAATAATAGAACTTGCCTAAATGGGCTAACCATGAATAGCACTCTAGTCCCCTGGATTATACTCACTGAGAGAGGACCTACAAAAAATAATCTGACACTTCTGAATAAAGTAACTGGGCACCAACATCAGGTAATCCAGGAATGTCTGAGGTGTGATTTTTTAACACCTTTTTATAATTATCAAAATAGTACATTTTAAAGAGATTTGATATCAAAAAATAAAATTCAGGAAAGTTTGATATGTATGTATCTATTTTTATGAATTATAAGGTCTTTGACTCTGTTTCCCTAATGTAGTTTGCTGCCAAAAATACAACTACCCAACTCTATATGCCTCCTGTGTATTTTAATCCTTCAGACTACAACACAGGACTAAAAAGACACTAAAGATAAATTCTGAAATATTCATCTTCAGTGATTTTTATAAAGGTACAATTTGTCAGAAACTGAAAATGTCCACTGGTATGCACTTATAAAAAGCGTATTCATGGCTGGGCGCGGTGGCTCACGCCTGTAATCCCAGCATTTTGGGACGCCAAGGTGGGCAGATCACCTGCGGTCAGAAGCTTGAGACCAGCCTGGTCAAAATGGTGAAACCCCGCCTCTACTAAAATACCAAAATTAGCTGGGCATGGTGGCGGACACCTGTAATCCCAGCTACTCAGGAGGCTGAGGCAGGAGAACTGCATGAACCCAGGAGGTAGAGGTTGCAGTGAGCCAAGATCGTGCCACTGCACTCCAGCCTGGGTGACAAGAGCTAGACTCCATTTACAAACAACAACAAAAAAGTGTGCATTCACATTAGAATTTTTTTTTAAATAGCCAGCACACTGGCCACAACTTATTTATAAAGGTTTTTGTAACCTATGAAGTAGTAAGATTTAAGAATCAGAATTTCATATTACTAGAATTGACTCTTTTATTTAGTACCATAATGTCTAGCTTTCATAAGTTATTTATTTTTATTACAATTCAAAAAGATTGGTCCTTTGTCCTGAAGAGATTCATCTACTGGACATTCAAAAACCACTCCCATGTATAACAGTACTCAGAAGTGATAGATTACATGAGAACATTGTTATGAGCTGCTGCTTTCATGCACAAAGACACTTTTTAATATGCAGGATTGAGCATATACATAATGAATCAGTTGAATTCTTTCTATCTGCAAATATTCTGAGATGATGTCATCCAGTCCAATGGCTTTAATTACCACACCTACGCTGAAGGTTTCCGAATCTCCAGCCTGAATTCTTCTCCTGAATCCAGACTTAATTTCCATTTATCATCTCCCACTTGAGTATCTAATAGGTGTCTTAAGTTAACATGTTCAGATCAAACTCTTGATTCCTGCCCTACCTCCAAACCCCTGCCCCAAATCTTTTTTTGTCTTTGTGTTTTTATTATTATTACTATGATTTCTTTACCTCAGTCTTTATATCTTAGCTCCATTTTACCAGAGGCTCAGGTCCAAAATCTGGGAGGCATTCTTGATTCCTCCCTTTCTCTTCAGAACCACATCTAATCAATCCATCAGCAAATCTTTCAAAATATATCCACAAAAGCCCAGCATGGTAGCCCGTACCTATAGACCCAGCTTCTCAGGAGGTGGAAGGATTGCTTGAGCCCAGGAGTTTAAGGCCAGCCTCGGCAACATAGCAAGACCCCATCTCTAATTAAAAAAAAAAAAAAAATCCATTATCACCACTGCCAGTGCCTATGCCCTCACCCAGGCGACCATCATCTCTCATTTGAAGTAGGATGAGAGCCTTCATTTAACCCTATACAGCTTATTCTTTTTGAGGGCGAGGAAACAGGGTTTCACTCTGTCACCCAGGCTGGAATGCAGTGGCACAATCTTGGTTCACTGCAACCTCCACCACCTGGGCTCAAGCTATCCTCCCATCTCAGCCTCCCAAGTAGCTGCGATACAGGCACGTACTAATATTTTGTATTTTTGGTACAGATGGGGTTTTGCCATATTGCCCATGCTGGTCTTGAACACCTGAACTCAGAGGATTCACTGGCCTCAGCCTCCCAAACTGCTGGGATTACAGCCGTGAGCCACTGTGCCCGGCTATAGTTTATTCTTAACACAGCAATGAGAGTGATTCTGTTAAAATATAAATGACATAATCTCACTGCTCTACTCAAAATCCTCCAATGATTTCCCACCTTATCCAGTATAAGAAATTATAAACGCTTTGCATCATCACTGCTCTGATGCCGTCTCACATAGGGCTTTCTTACTCTCTTCATTCCAGTGACATCAGCCTTCTTTCTGATACTTGAACACAACAAGAACACTTCCACCTTAGGCACTTTACATCTCCTGTTCTTTCTGACTGGATCATTATTTCTTCACAAACATACATAACTTTACATCCTGTAAACCTCTGCTCAAATACCATTATTAATAACTTTCCCTAACTTCCTTCATCTAAAATAGCATCAATCCCATTTCAGTCACTCTCAATTCCCTTACCATGAGCTAAAAGGAACACTGGTTTCTATAGACGTTAGACAGTAGTTGAGCCAGAACCAATTTTCAGCAAAGAATATGATAAAATATTAGCTAATTAGTTGTAACAGATACAACCAACTCCACACTTCTGTATATTCCCCTACCGTAATTCATCACAATTTATGCCGTTATTTATGAAATTAGTGTCTTACCCACAAGAGTACAAGAGAAAGAACCAGTTTCTTACATTGCTCTTTACTAGCATTTGATCAGTAGAGCTAACACTTCTTGGGCCAGGCGCAGTGGCTCACACCTGTAATCCCAGCACTTTGGGAGGCCAAGGCAGGTGGATCATGAGGTCAAGAGATCGAGACTATCCTGGCCAACATGGTTAAACCCTGTCTCTACTAAAAATACAAAAATCAGCTGGGCATGGTGGTGCGTGCCTGTAGTCCCAGCTACTCGGGAGCCTAAGGCAGAAAAACTGCTTGAACCGGGAGGCAGAGGTTGCAGTGAGCCAAAATTGTGCCACTGTACTCCAGCCTGGTGCCTGGCAACGAAGCAAGACTGTCTCAAAAAAAAAAAAAAACACTTCTTGGGCACTTAATTCTTTTTATTATTATTATTTTATTGTATTTCTTGAGACGAAGTCTTGCTCTGCTGCCCAGGCTGGAGTACAGTGGCACAATTTCAGCTCACTGCAATCTCAGCCTCCTGGATTCAAGTGATTCTCCTGCCTCACCTTCCAGAATAGGTAGGACTACAGGTATGTGCCACCATACCTGGATAATTTTTTATATTTTTAGTAGAGATAGGGTTTCACCATGTTGGTGTGAAACCAGGCTGGAGTTGAACTCTTGACCTTAAGTCATCCACCCGCCTTGGCTTCCCAAAGTTTTGGGATTACAGGCCCGACACCTTCTTGGGCACTTAATATGTATCAGGCACTATCCTATGTAATAAGTACTTTAAATATATTAACTCATATAATCCTCTCAATGAAAAAATAAGAGAGAGAACATCATCTTCATTATAAAGAAAACAGAAATAGAAGTAAGTTACTTGCTCAAGGCTACAGAGGCAGTAGAGTCAGGATTCAAACTAGTTCCAGACCCTGTATCTGTAACCATTATGCCAGACTGCCTCTTAGTTGGCTAATGGGATAGAGTGCCAGGGGTGAGGGCTTGCTTAAAGTAATTGGATTAAAGCTCCCTGAAGAGGTAACATTTGAGCTGAGAGCTGAATGACGTCAATCCTGCCAGATGACTACCTGGGTAAACAGTGTTTCCGACCTGAGAAATACAAGCTAGAAATGGACTAAGGACAGAACTAAGCATCAGAATAGGGAAGGAGGAAGGGAGGGACAGTGCCAGAAAAGACAGGTGTTAAATAAGCATAAGATTGTTAGGTAATGAAGATAAAGAGATGGGGGAGAAGTCAGCATTTGGGGAACTTCATAAGGAGTTGGTTTTATTTCAATAGCAGTGGTAAAGAGGGTTAAACAAGGGAGTGCTATAGCTGAAAGACTGAGAGTCCTAACCCAGCAGTTGCTATTGAGGACACTCAGAATTATTCCTCGTCACCTTCAGGTCTCTTGACGGAAAAACAAAATTTGTTAACTGTGGTCAGGGAGATGGTAAATGGAATGATAAGACAGGACCACATGACCATCGCTATACTTGCAGCTGGCTGATAGCAGTGTTGGGACATAGGCACAAGAACATATTTTAGAAAAGAGTGTAAGTTAGCAATGGCTACAATGTTACAGTAGCAACCTGGAACAAACACTGCTGAAGATCACATTAGTCTTCAAGGCCACTTTGTGGGATAAACAGAAGAGAAGAAAATCCTCAAGAACAATGAAACCAATCACTTAAGCAATGGCTACATCCTTTCATAAAGCAACTGTGGCTCAGGATACCATTGCTCAAGTCCTCCTTAGGACATGCTTCACAAATGCATATGTTTTTAAAATGGTACTCAGAAAACTATCAAAGGGGAACCCAGTAGGCCTACTCAATGGCATATTTTAATATATGCATGGCACAAGACTTTACTAAGAAATGTGTCTGAGCTCTACTGCCAATTGGTACAAGGACTGCGGGAAAGCAACTGAACTTCTAAGGGCCCTAGCTTCTTTATTTGTAAAATGTGAGCCTAGAGTAAGATGTATTTCAATTCTTACATATACAAGCACACACACACCCCCATGACTCTGCACATACTACAAACCCAAAGGCATGACTCTGTTAAATGAAAGTAAGCAAGGGATGTGTTGTAGTACTTTAATATGTTGGTTGATAAGTGTAATGAAATGAAATCAATATACAGCTAAAGAGGACACAAACTGACTAAACTTTGGGGCTATATGTCAAACATTTATATTCACAGATTACCCCATAACTGTATATTACATTTTGAAGATATACATATATAGAAAGAGAGTATTGGTAAGCATTCAAAAACAAAACATTGGAAATTACATCAGGAAGCTTCAATTCTAATTGGCTCTTCAATTATTCTCTACAAATATTCAATATTGAATACTTGCCAATTATTTGGATTTCGAATTTATTTACTACAAAATTATGAAACTAGTTGACCTTCAATTCTTAAATTCTACATATTACTCACCATGCTTTGTTTTATCAAGAAAATTTGGATGTATCAATGGGTAGTGTATGAAGCTTAGGTGGGGCATCAGTCAATATTTAACGTGGTATATTCATATTACACAAGAAGACTTATTACACACTTTTCCTTTAGAATTTTTAAATCAATAATAAACGTAAGAAGTTGTCAACAGAAATAAATTAGTTGTACTCAGCAGTGACATTACTTTCTAATGAACAAGTACTACCTGGACTTTTCACAGTATCCTATGCTTTGTTCATTTTCATGCTTATCTCTAAGAAAAAAATCAAAATGTTTTATACCCTTTTTAATCATTATTCAAGTTAGAAAAAGGAGGCTGTTAAAAAGTTACCTCTAACTGATACTATTTCTTGTATGAAACACAATGATAAAAATTTTTTTCACTATTGAAACAAATATATCAGCTAGTGCCCTGGCTCACGCCTGTAATCCCAGCACTTCTGGGAGGCTGAGGTGGATCACGAGGTCAAGAGATCAAAACCATCCTGGCCAACATGGTGAAAACCCTGTCTCTACTAAAAATACAAAAATCAGCTGGGCATGGTGCCGTGCACCTGTAGTCCCAACTACTCGGGAGGCTGAAGCAGGAGAATCACTCGAACCTGGGAGGTGAAGACTACGGTGAGCTGAGATCTTACCAATGCACACCAGCATGGCACTGAGCTAGACTCCACCTCAAACAACAACAACAACAACAACAAAACACAAATATATCAGCTAAAACCAATAAGCTAAAAAAACTTATTATAAAAAACATCAAAAGTTTCAGAGACCATATTTGACAACTTTCTTATGAGTATTTATTCCTCCTTACCTGATGAAGAACTTCCAGAGTAACAGGGTAAAAGAGGTTTTCAATAATTATTCGAAGCACAGGGCTCTGCCCAGGTAGGACTGTGCCTTCATTGGAAGGACCTCCAGAAAGGGCCAGGCTTCCTGACTGGACGGCACTGACAGCCTGCAGTGCAGCTTGGGCTCGCTATAGAACAACCCAGAATGAGAACTTTTGATTATACAGACACATTATATGAATCCTAAAATTTCACTGACAGAAAACAATATGAAGCAATATAGTTAAGTAAGACAAGAATTTACCTACTTTGTCTAGGGGTACACATCCTAAATTTGTAATCAGTCAACAAAGACCTGCCCGCTTATCACAATGACACAGTATTTTTAAAAGGTGCTTAAATTTACTTGAAGAAAAAAAGTACATGAAGAAACAGAGAACATTTGGATATAATTTTTATTTTCTAATCTTCAAAAGACAATGGGAGAAGAAATATGAAAGCAACATTAAAGACCATGACATGGGATGTTTACACCCAAGAAGAGTAGGCAAGACAGGCTTCTAAACATTCTTCACTAAAAGGAACAGGGCACTCTAAAAGAAGAGCTGGTTCCAGAACTGGGACCCAGATCACAAGATGAGTATAAAACATTTTTGTTTTGAGGCAGCGGGAGGGAGCATTGATCAGAATGCAAGGAAATGTTCAAAGAATGATAGGGATATTCTAAAGGACATAGAAACCAGCTTGAAGGAGCCTGCACTGGCCAAATGTAGGACAATTTGTGTATCAAAATACTAACAACTGTTAAAAACAAAAACCCATCAAATAACATAGGAAACCTTTAGTCCATACTCATAAATTAACAGCTGATGAGGAACAGTATATTTACACAGTCTTAAAGTACCTTCCCACAACATACTACTCTTTCCCCTTTGTAAGCAGTAACTTTATAGTGGAGAAGGCTGGCAAACACCACCCTAATCAAGTGATCAAAGAGCCCATCATTACTAATACAGCAAATGAAATTTTATGCTGCAATGAAAAGAGCATTATTTCTGTGATGCTCTGTCAAAGACAGATACTCTCAATTGAATCACAAGGAAATGTCAAATCCACATTGAGGGATATTCTTGAAAATAAATTGCTTATAATTTTCAACAGTGTCAAGGTTATGAAAGGCCTTAAAAGGTAAACTAAAAAGATATTACAATTAAATGGAAATGTGATCCTAACTGAATCCTTTTGCTATAAACAAGCACTATTGGGTCAACTGGCAAAACATACATGGGGTATGAGGAATGGTGGAAACTTCTGTATCAATGTTAACTTCCTAATGTTGACTGTTGTATTCTGGTTAACAGAAGAATGTTCTAGTTTGTAGGAAATGCACACTAAAAATAGTGGACAAAAAAGAAGGACCAGAGTGACAACTTATTCTCAAAAGGCTCAAGAAATCAAAACTTCTTTGTACTATAACGAAAACTTTTTTCTAACTTTGTGATTCTCTCAAAATGTAAACCAACTATTATTATTATCTTTGGGGCCACAGAGCAATATCCTGTCTCAAAGATAAAATAAAATAAGTGTGTCTGATGCTAAAAATTATGAAAAAGCAGAACTCCTATCATGGAAAATAATTTTAAAATGTTTGGGTAACAAACTCTCTGGAATAGTTAAATTACTAAAGGAAATAATAGCAACAGTACGATCAGGAAAACAGATTTAATTAATGTGGGATAAGGAGTAATGTATACATCATGTAAAATTTTTAAATGCCTGGAAAATGTAAAAAAGACATTTCTCAGATTGAGAAGATGAAAATTAACATACGATAAAAAATGCACAGATCTTGCAAAGCGTTAAGTTTGATGGCTTTTTAGAGAAAATACTTCTATGGTCATCTCATGGCAGATTTATAAACTTTCATCCACAAGGTCAAGAAAAACCAATACAATAATGACTGCCATTAACACAACCATTTCTCAAATGCTGTATCTCATAATATTATCTAAATTTTACAGTTGTAATTTTAGTTTAAATCAAGGAAACTAGTTTAAATCAAGGAAACAAAAACACTTAATATTCACCTGATCTTCTGTCAATAAGTCCATAAACTGAAAAGGTAATATGCATATTTTGGGATAGACTGCTATTCAGAGAACAAAAAGGAATGAAACACTCATCTATCAGCTTTCTGGAAATGTCAGAATAAAAAGACATTATCGTACTTTAAAAATATCAAACAGGTAGTGTAACTTTGACGTCAGGTTTGATGTAGGAGTTTGAATTTTAAAAATTAATGTATGTTTCCTAATTATGCTGTCTAAAATAAAAAAATAAAATAAAAAACAATTATTGTATTTTATCAGACATCAATGCATAAAAATTGTACAAACGCAACATGATGGAAAAAGTATTGGGAAGAAATGAAGTCTATCTAAGAATAAACTAGGTCATTTAGGCTGGCTTTGGTTACCAAGCAACTGGAATTTCTCACTGCTTCTCTTTGGAATAATCCAATCTTTAAGAGTTATTAAATTGTTTTTTCTTCTTCAAGATTTATACTAACATATTTGGGAATCACACTAATGAGAAAACTGCAGGAGTTACATGAAGGAAAATTTAAAACTCTACTGAAAGACAAAAGAAAACAAACAAAATAAAACTTCCTCCTTAAAAGAATCAGAGAGCAATATAATTAATTTGCATAATTAATTAACACAAATTAATCTATAACATCAACCCAATTCCAACTGTGTTTTTTCGGGGGACAAGAGTTACCAAAATAATTTCAAAATTTATCTGGAGAAATAGGCAAAATATTTAATCAGTTAATTTCTGAAAAGAGAGTAAGAAATAAGGTCTTGCCCTACCATATATTAAGCCTTAGGGGCTCCTAGCACTTTGGGAGGCAGAAGCGGGTGGATCACCTGATGTCAGGTTCCAGACTCCTGACACTGTATTTTTAATCTCTACAAAAAATATAAAAATTCGCCCGGAATGGTGATGGGCACCTATAATCCCAGCCAAGATGGTGCCACTTCACTCCAGCCTTGACAAAGAGCAAAATACCATGCCCCACCCCAACGAAAAAAAATGAAGCCTTAGAGCACAGATGCAGAAATGGAATCTAAGCTTTTGGAATTCAAAAGGTAGTCAAGGTTAAACATGGAATGCATAGGATGTGAGCTCACACACACGAGAGTAGAATGTAAAGCAGAATATATAGGAAGGTTAGACAAGAGTGCAAGTGAGTGTGTGTGTGTACATATGATCAGCAGGCATAGTGTGTGTATAGAAAACTAATATATGATAAAGGACAAGTTTCACATTAGTGGGAAATAAATGAGTTATTCAAAAACAATGCAGGAGAAACTAGTCTCTTGGAGTAAAAAAAGACTGAAGCCCTACCCTCATTCCCCACATCCAAAAAATTCCTATAGACATAAGAACCACAACATGAAAGAAAACATATGTAGATTATTTTTTAAATTATCAATTATTAGAAAAAAACATACGTAGATTCTTTTTTTAATCTTGGAGTACGAGGTCTTTCTTAGCATGGTACCAAAGTCATACTGTATTATGACATCCTAAGAGATTTGACTATACATATAAAAATATTTAAAAATTCATAGAGACTGAAGGTAGAATGGTAGTTGCCAGAGGTGGGAGGGAGAAAGGAATAGGAAGTTACTGTATGATGGATGGAGTGTTTCAGTTTGAGGCGATGAGAAATGGCATCTAGAGATGGAGTGTGCTGGTGACTATACAACAATGTAAATGTACTTAATGCCATCGAACTACATTTTAAAGTGACTGAAATGGTAAATTTTATGTCACGTATATTTTACTATTATTAAAAAAATGGGGAAAATGGCACTAACAGAAATCCGTTTAAGTATTTTACAAATTGTCAAGTAAAAGTAAAAAATAAGATATAATTACTCATCTACCTATTAAAGACTAGAAAGCCACTTGCTCATCCATTATATTGGTGGGACTCTAAGCATATCATCTCTACAGAAAGCAATCACGCAACATATATCAAAATTTAAAAGAGGCACATGCTTTGTCCTGGCAATTTCATACACATACACTGGAATATACATTGTATTGTATGGCAATGTACATTTTATTGGATTGGAATATACACTGGAAACAATTTCAGTGTATATCAAAAAGAAATTGGACAAATTATAATTCTCCTATACAAGGGAGCATTATAGTCATTAAAAGCTGATGAGACATCGCTATTTGTTGCAATAAACCCATGTCCATAATATTACACAGAAAAAATATTTCAAAACATTTTGTATAAAATTAGATATATAGATACTAGTTATTAGTTATCTCTGGGTAACTGGATTGGTTTTGGTTCTTTTCTCTTTTACTTTTTTTCATTGATCGGTGTACCATAAGCATGTATCTGATACACAATTTGTAATGACAACTTTTTTTTAAAAAAAGTCTATTTTTTAAAAACATCTAATATTGTATTTATTTATTATAAGTTTATATAGTTTATTATATGCCATTAATATTGCTTAAAGTAAGTTAAGGATTGTATGCAGTAAATGTCGCCGTTTCAAACAATGTGGAAAACTAATCTCAACAGCTTACATTATACTGCCTTTCAACACAAAATCAGAGCTGGAGGAGTTCTTTGTCTGGAGCAAGAATACAGAGGCCAAATATGCCCTTAAAATCATAATTTAAAAAAATACTTTCTTAAAATGTATTTGCTTTGTGGACAAAGATTTTCTCTCCTTAAATAACTCCAAATCATACTATTTTTAACCACTTAAAAATCAACAAGGAAAGACACAAAAGACTCAACGTTAGCTACACCAAAGTAACAGAAAAATGGGTAAGAAATGTTGCTATGCTACATTTCACATTCATCTTGAGGAGTCAAAAATCATTTAATGAACAATTCTACACAAATTCTTATTAATGTCTTAAGTTCCATTACTTAATATCACTCAATTTCTCAATGCCTTTGTTACAGTCTATAAAAAGATGATTGAAATGAATGACTTCCAAAAGTTCCTTCAGATCTGAGATTTTAAGGTGTATATAACAATAAATATTTTTAAGGGCCGGCCGCAGTGGCTCACGCCTGTAATCCCAGCACTTTGGGAGGCCAAGGCGGGTGGATCACGAGGTCAAGAGATCGAGATCATCCTGGTCAACATGGTGAAACCCCGTCTCTACTAAAAATACAAAAAATTAGTTGGGCATGGTGGCGCGTGCCTGTAATCCCAGCTACTCAGGAGGCTGAGGCAGGAGAATTGCTTGAACCCAGGAGGCGGAGGTTGTGGTGAGCCGAGATCGCACCATTGCACTCCAGCCTGGGTAAACAAGAGCGAAACTCCGTCTCAAAAAACAAAACAAAACAAAAAACAAAAACAATAAATATTTTTTCTCCTTTTTTATTGTGGAAATAGTTTCAAGAGAAAAAATGAACTTCTAGTATGTTTCTAAATGGCACTGCTTTCTTATTCTTAAGAATTTGGGGAAGAATTTACATATACAGTTATCACTAGTAAAGTATCCTAAAATGAAAAAAAAACACATTCAGTTTTCTTCATCTGTAAAATATCTAAGTTATCATACCATGTGTTCCTATACCTATTTTTAAAAACACCTTTAATACTTACAGCTTGATTAGGTAGATTGTCAGTCTTAAGTTCTCTGTGATTGGAATACTGAATATAAACAGGCTGGCTTCGAAGGTGAGGAGTAAAAGGAGTGTAATAATTCACCATAGTAACAGCAGCTTCCTCAGAAGCCATTTCTAAGAAAGCCTGCAATAAACACAAGAAGGTAAAGTGAAAGCTCACCGTTTTGAAAGCCAAGAGATATGTTGCCATTCTAGCTTGCTCTAAACCCATGCATTCTCAAGTAAAATGGTATTACCTCTGGGACGGGGGGAGCCTTTGCTTCAAAATATCATGGATGTTAATTAGAAACATCTAAAAAGCTGGGTTCACTGAAGAACTTGAGAAGCCAGGCATGGTGGTTCACAACTGTAATTGCAACCACTTTGGGAAGAGAAGATGGGAGGATTGCTTGAGCCCAGGAGTTCAACACCAGCCTGGGCAACATAGGGAGAACCCATCTCTACCAAAAATTTTTAAAACTTAGCTGGGCATGGTGGGCAGGGTGGTGAGGGGCTGAGGTGCTTGAGCCTGGGAGGTTGAGGCACCACTGCACTCCAGCATGGGTAACACAGTAAAACACTGTCTCAAAGGATTTGTTAACTGCCAGTTGATTAAGTGATTTTATGTAAGTGAGTTTTTGGTTTTCCTTTTATTTCTGTTTCTTTTAAAATCTAGAAATAATTTAAAAGATCAAAATAAATGTGTACGTCACCATTGTAAATGGATGTTTTCAGGGGTTGTGATTTAAGTTTATCATTAAAAATACAGAGGCTACGGCTGGGCATGATGGTTCACGCCTGTAATCCCAGCACTTTGGGAAGCCAAGGTGGGTGGATAGATGAGGTCAGGAGTTTAAGACCAGCCTGGCCAAGAGGGTGAAACTTCATCTCTACTAAAAATATAAAAATTAGCCAGGCATGATAGTGGATCTCTGTAATCCCAGCTACTCAGGCGGCTGAGGCAGGAGAATCACTTGACCCCAGGAGGCGGAGGTTGCAGTGAGCCAAGATCTCGCCATTGCACTCCAGCCTGGGTGACTGAACAAAACTCCATGTAAGAAAAAAAAGGCTACAATACATAAACAGATACTAAACTTAATGGGGGGCAATTAGAGAGTAAAAGGGCTAAAAAGAGTCTTTAAGGGAACAGGAAGAAAAAAAAAAAATTGAGAAACACTGCTCTAAAATAGCCAGATTCTTAGAAGAGATGGGGCAAAACAGTTTATTCTCCTTTTACTCTTTTTTAAAACAGCCATTTATAAATAAAATAGAGCATTCACTTTTTTCAGTAACAGTTTTATTATGTCATACTTTACCAACATATGTGACAGCAAGAAATGAGAACTAGCATGATATGGTAGAAAGGGAACTTGATTAAAATCTATGCTTAGCTATGACAACTTAATCATTAACACCTCTGAGCCTTAGTTTCCTCATATAAAACATGAAGCGCCTGTAATCCCAGCACTTTGGGAGGCCAAGGCGGGTGGATCTCGATTAAGAGATCGAGACCATCCTAGTCAACATGGTGAAACCCCATCTCTACTAAAAATACAAAAAATTAGCTGGGCATGGTGGTGCATGCCTGTAATCCCAGCTACTCAGGAGGCTGAGGCAGAAGAATTGCCTGATCCCAGGAGGTGGAGGCTGCAGCGAGACAAAATCATGCTATTGCACTCCAGCCTGGGTAACAAGAGCGAAACTCTGTCTCAAAAAAAAAAAAGAAAGAAAACCATGAAGCACTAACAGGATCTTTATGTCTCTTCGTAGCTCTAACATGAGATGAGTTTTAAGTGAGATGATTTTTAATTCTTGTTAGTTGAACTGTATGAGATTTTTCAGAATAAAACTACTAAACTCAGCTTCTGAAAAACATCCCTGTAAAATGGTGATCAATACTCTAGTTTCTCTTCAAATGGTATAAATCTTTCACCTTTTACTCATATGATAGTGTACACTTTAGATTTGTCTTTTTAAGTATTTCTAGGAAGAAACAAGAAAAAACAAACAAACACATAAAACCAGTTAATTAAGTGGTAATTTTCCAATTCCAAATTTTTTTTTTTTTTTTTTTTTTTTTGAGATAGTCTCACTCTGTCGCCCAGGCTGGAGTGCAGTGGCATGATCTCAGCTCACTGCAACCTCCGCCTCCAGGGTTCAAACGATTCTCCTGCCTGAGCCTCCTGAGTAACTGAGATTACAGGCATGCACCATCACACCTGGCTAATTTTTGCATTTTTAGTAGAGCCAGGTTTTCACCATGTTAGCCAGGCTGGTCTCAAACTCCTGACCTCAAGTGATCTGCCCACCTCAGTCTCCCAAAGTGCTAGGATTACAGGCATGAGATACTGTGCCCAGTCTTAGGTTCCTTTTTAAGTATTAAGGCATTCATTAAAACACAGATGTATATGTCATATTTAATTCTGAGGTACAGGCTGAGTATTCCTTATTCAAAATGCTTAGGAAGTATTTTGGATTTCAGATTTTGTAATATTAAATATTTGCCTTAGATACTTACTAGCTGAGCAACCCTAATTAAAAAATTCAGAACCCAAAATGCTCCAGTGAGCATTTCCTTTGATTGTTATGGCACTCAGAAAGTTTCAGATTTTGGAGCACCTCATTTTCAGATTAGAGATATTCAACCTGTATCAGAAAATAAGGCCAGGTGTAGTGGCTCATGCCTGTGATCCGAATACTTTGAGAGGCTGCAGCAGGCAGATCACTTGAGGGTCAGGAGTTCAAGACCAGCCTGGCTAACATGATGTAACCCCATCTCTACTAAAATCACACACAAAAAATTAGCCAGGTGTGGTGGCAGGCATCTATAATCCTAGCTTCTCGAGAGGCTGAGGCAGGAGAATCACTTGAACCTGGGAGGCAGAGGTTGCAGTCAGTCCGAGATCACGCCAGTGAACTCCAGTGTACTCCAACCTGGGCAACAGAGCGAGACTCTGTCTCAAAAGAAAAGAAAATAGCTTATAATCTTCCAAATACAGAATATTTTTAAAAATAAGGTATAAAGGATCAATTATTCAAACTATGGAAATCTGAGAACTTCCTACACTGAGTCAATATTAAGTCATTCAAGTGACTTGATATCTGTAGTCACTGTACTAATAGTAGATATCTGAAGAATGTCTTGGGAAAAGCTGAGGTGGCAAAAGCCACTTGATATTTATATCTTACTGTACACACAGCTTCCTCTTACAAGAATAAGATACTTACAAAGCTTTAGGTGGTAGATTTTGTCCCCCATCTTACTTTATTTCATTTTTTATTTTTTGAGATGGTCTCACTACAATGGAGTACAGTGGCAAGATCTCAGCTCACTGCAACCTCCACTTCCTGGGATCAAGCGATCCTCCCATCTCAGCCTCCCAAGTAGTTGGACTACAGGTGGGTGCCACCACACTTGGCTAATTTTTTACAATTCTTATAGATAGAGATGAGGTCTCACTACACTGCCCAGGCTGGTATTGAACTCCGCAGCTCAAGTAATCCTCCTGCCTCAGCCTCCCAAAGTGGTGGGATTACAGGCGTAAACCACTGTGCCCAGCCTCTGTCCCCCTATGTTAATGGTTAGTTAGAAAGATAAAACTATAGACATCAACCATTCTGAGTCCTCAAAACCACCTGTAAGAACATCTCAAATTTAAAATGCAAAAACCACTCCTGATCCAAATCAACACAAATTTCTAGACAATCCAATTCCTTATTTACTACAAAAGAAGGTATTTATTTATTTAATTATTCATTCATTCATCCATCCATTTTTTTAAGAGACAGGGGTCTTGATATGTTGCCTGGGCTGGAATGCAGTGGCTATTCACAGGCATGATCTCACTACTGATCAGCACAGCAGTTCTGACCTGCTCAGGTTTTGATCTGGGCCAGTTCACCCCTCCTTAGGCAGCCTGGACCATACTGCTACCAGATCAGCTTAGTACACTACAGTTCAGAACGCTCAGACTCAAGCAATCTTTGAGGCAAGTGCCACCATACCCAGCCATAAGAGTATTTAATTAGCCAACATTTATCAACCACTTCAAGTTATGCATAAAACATTTACAATTTATAAAATATGCATTTGTTAACAATAAACTTTACTGAACACATGAAATGGCAAATATCTCTAAATTAAACTATTTCGTTGTTTATAGTTACCTTGTCAAATGTTTCCACATAAAGTCTAGAAAAGCAATTTTAACTGGACAGATGTTAAACACGATGTATAACTGTACCAACCAAATGTAACAACTGAACCAATGAAATGCTCCACATGAACCACCAGTGTTCTACGAAACAGTAATGTCAGCCATGTGACAGTGGATGAAACATCACAAATTAACCCACAATAAATAAATAAAACTCCCCAAATAAATAAAAAGTCCACCATTTTAAAAGAGCAAAATTGACTTCAAGTCATTTATTCTATTTAAAAGGTAAAAATATCCAGGATGCACTTTGAAGCCATTATCCACTGTGTCAATAACATATTTTTTCTAATTTTTCTATGACAATAGGATAAAAATGATCAAGGCAGGAAAAACAGCTATGGCAACTAGCTAGTTTCTAACTAACTATATTTAAATCATCTTCCAACAAACAATTTGTAAACAATAATATTTACTATATGGGTATATTTCTGCAATCTCCTTTCTAAATGTTAAGAACAAACTCAATTTCTAACATCAGTCACATAAAGGAAAAGCTAAACACCATATTTAGAATATATGATTCTTGTCACAGTATTTTCTTTCTTAAAGTACAAAGTACCTAAAATTTCATATGTAAAAATAATGTTTTCCACATGGAGTCCAGTAATTACTTACGTTTTATTTAAGTATCTAGTCAAAAAATCCAATTTTCATAGTTTGAAGTGGAGAGACAGCCAAAAGTCACTACCCAGAGGAAGGCTGGTAAAAATAATCCCCATTTGGCCCCCAACACTCCACCCTGCAGATGCCCTGGGAAAGGTTATCACTCATAAGTGGTTCTAGTGACTCAAATCAGAATCTCTTATTGAAGTGTATTACTAAAAAGATATTTTCTAAACAGGATTTATGATCAAAACACAAGCAATTAACATAACACGGTTATCTTACCGATAAAATAAACCCAGAACCAGTAGCAGAGACAAAATTATGATGTTGCCTGCTCAGCCTTTCACAGGCAATTAGCCATTAGACATGGCCATGTTGTCTCTGTTCAAATCATGCAAACCATACTATTCTCAATAGTAGCAATTGTTAAAATAAAGATCTAACTGGCAGGATGCACTGTCTCCAAAGGATTTAAGACAAATGTGGAACTACAACAAGGGCCAAATATTAAGGCATGTTACTTCTCCAAATCTTAGTAACCTCATCTGAATTAAAGAGGATATTAAGTAATTTACTAAAGATAGGGAACTCAGACATCATCATTCAACCTCTTTCATGCCCAATGCTTACCAATATATTTATTTATAAATATATTTACAAAGTTTCTTAAACTTATTATTTACCAAAAGCAGAAGAAACAGTAATATACATGACAATATACTACAAAATACCTAGGGCCTAGATTTGTTGTCCTCTTCTTTACAGTAATGAGCAGTATAAAAGATTTTTAGGACAACCCAAAACTTGGAAAGAACTAAAGAATTCATCCCAGTGGGGTCTGAGTTGGAACAAGAGGACATACAATTATTAAAATAAACATGACAAGTATTCTATTTTTTGTCATGGTCACCACAGAGACAAGTTTCCTTATTCATCTGAAGAACCTGCTCACTTCTCAAATGAAGACTCTTTACAGTCTCTTTAGAATTATGAAAAAAGCCACATATTAATTCTGTATCTAAAATATTCTGTTAAACTTTCTGAGAGGATGTTATTTTGGACTAGCCTCCTGTACTATGCCCCAGCAGACCAGTCCAAATCAAAATGGAGTCACCCAGGCAAAGCATAGCAGGTAAATCCCCAAACAAACCAGTTTTTCCTGAAAACAGGAGATTTACAGCAACCAATCAGAAAGAGTGTGGCCTACCTGAATCAGCACAATAAATTCCCTCTGCTCTAACCTTTACGGGAAAAGTAACACAATAACTTGATGTTAACAAATTCACTTTTTAAACAATTGTCACTTCCTTCTTACCACCTTATAAAAAAAAACAACTGTTATGTCTTGTCCAGTGGAACATTCATTCTATTTTACAGATTGAGGTGTTTCTCAGTTCTAGAATCACAAATAAAAGCCAATCAAATCATGTTTACATGTGTTGTGATTTTGACTTTTGACAACACATTTTTATCGAGATTTTTGAAAACTTAACTGTCCTTTAATTTGCCAAATGAGGTATGATTTATATCTATCAGCATTTTCTTCTAATCATCGGACATTTGATAAACCACTGTGTAATACAAAGAAAATTAAAAACGAATTAACTAAAATGTAAAATTTCTTTCTTGTTAAGAAGAAAAAAGATAAGTTATTGTTTGTTGCTTCCTGTTACAATTCCCCCAAGAAAATCTACTTTTAAAACTAATTTATGTTCATAGTATGAAATTTTAAAAATACAAAAAAGCTTAATAAAATAAAAATTATCAGTAACACTAACACCTAGAGATAATCACTTTGTGTCAATCTTTAAATATTACATACCTGCCTTTTTTCTTTCAACATCAAAAGATTAGTTACTCTGCCAAATGGTAGACCTAATGATATGATCTCTGCTTCGGTGACATCACATGGAATTTTTCGAAGATGGAGAACACGGGAAGGCGAACAGGGAGGTCTATCTCGTTTAAATTTCTTGCTGTCATTCCCATTAGCTAAAAAACATAAGATTCTTTTTTAAATTACTGAAACTAATTTGGGTTGACATACTACATTAACCATATTGTCACATTTAATCCTAAATGAGTTTTGGGTTTTGAACTTCAGGGAACCATGGGGCTGATGGAGGTAGATGGAAAAAGAGTAGAAAACAAAACCAGCTACCTTTTAATGAATGGGTGCTTTTGGATTTTCACTGTAGGTATTACATTTTTTTTAAAACTGAAGTCTGATTTTTAACTGCAAGGAAAAGTATAAGGGTAAGTGAATTATAATTTCAAATATCTCTAAATACTCAACTTTTTCTTATAAATAGAGAACACTACTTATGATGTCTTTGATGTATTTTAAGGAGATTTTTCAAATTTATTCTATTGCTAAATAAATTAGAGTAATAAAATTTTAGGAAAGACAGTGATAAAAATCTTATTTATCACATCCTAAGGAGATTTGGATTTGAGTTGTATATTTATGAAAATTAAGTTTATTTCTTAGGTGTTAATAGTCTTTATTTTTTAGAAGCTAAATTGTGGTGTCTTATGATATAATCTTATTCCTTATTATATAACAATAATTCTTAACATAAGTACCACCTTGCTGTAAATGCAAATTTCCAACCCCACCCGAGATCTACTGAAGCAGAAGCTCCAGGAACGGAACCCAGAGACCTGCTTTAACAAGCCCACCAGGAGATTCTATTTACCCTTAAGTTGGAGAATTACTGCTGCAAAGTAAAAAAATAAAACAGAAAAAAAAATTATCTAAGCTAAATTTATTTAAATGCCATTATTTCAATACTGAGAATAACTAGAATTGACAAGCCTGTATGAAACACGTAAATTTAAGCAGGTAAGATTCAGAAATGTTTTTCTTCCAGAAATAGAACCAAAAAACACTAAATACAAATTACTTAAAAGCCAAAGTTTCATTGCAATGTTGTTTGATCACTAAATACCATATTTGCCACATCTGGAGAAAAAGATATCTTTCCAGATGCCTAAAAATATCATTTCTCTGAACACTAATGGAACTTTACAATCAAATGTCTGTAATCCTAAACAAATTTCATGAGGACCAAATAAAAATTACTACAGCCACATTTCATATCCATATCTGTGGCAGAGAACTTAACTTGTTGACAACTAGACAGGTTGGCTTAATACCCAAACTAGCACTTGCTCCCAAATTCTCTATTTTCATGAATGCAAGCAGCAAGCTATCCAGACCTAAAACACCATCAATACCTAGAGGCCCATACAGGTCTGTGTGCCTTTATATAGCAAATGCCTATGTCAGATTATGGAAAATAACAGGCACACACAAATGTTTATTGGATTAATTAATCTGGAAGACAAGAGCTTCCATCTGCTTCTCTCCCTTATTAATCACCAAGAAATACTAATTTTTCCCTCCAAAATGACTACTTCTTACATCTCCACTCTGAAAGTCACCAACCTCACCTTGATCTTGTCCTCACTTCAGTTCTCCCTTCCTCTGGTTTTACTCTCCCTGCTTCCCATATTCTGGGGATCCAGTATCGTATCAACGTTTAACTAAAATAGTGTATCGGCCCAGCACAGTGATTCACACCTCTAATCCCAGAACTTTGGGAGTCTGAGGTGGACAGATCACCTGAGGTCAGGAGTTCCAGACCAGTCTGAGCAATATGGCAAAACCCCATCTCTACAAAATAAATACAAAAATTAGCAGGGTGTGGTGGCATATGCCTGTAATCTAGCTACTTGGGAGAGGCTGAGACAGGAGAGTCGCTTAAACCAGGGAGGAGGAGGCTGCAGTGAGTCGAGATAGCACCACTTGCACTTCAGCTTGAGACCCTGTCTCATAAAATAAAATAAAATAAGCATATCATGTCATTATTCTGCTCCAAAACCTAAAACAGGCACCAAATACCTAAAATGTGATTTCACTTCTAACTTTCAAACTGTTTTCATTTACATTGCCTCATTTGATTCTCATAAATACCCAAACTAAAGTATAAAGGTAATTTCATATTTTAACCATAAAAATTTCAAAGTGTCCTACTACTCCTGCAGAAAGGTAAGTTAACTTGACACTGACATTGTAATTTACAAAGGTTTACATGGATTGTGGACAATAACAAATGATAATACTGTCACGAGAGTAAAACATCAAACATCAGAGTCCTGGATAGGGCCAAGAGTTGAACAGGGAATGTCTTTTTGGCACCCTCCCAGCAGACATAGGGAGCTAAACAGTAACACGGCCAATGTGGCCTTGCTCAACCAGCACAAGGAGCTAAAGGACTGAAGAAACATTCTAAAGGCATGAGACTCCTATCAGTTTACCCAGAATATCCCATCAAGAATGAAAGAACACTAAGAAAGCTGTTTCTTTAACAGAGGTAGTCTATGTCTGAGAAAATATGAATACCAAACAAGTTACCTGAGCTCCCATTTGTGTTGCATTATCAAATAAAGACCTAAGATGGCAAACTTTTACCAAGAAATACGCAATTATAAATCACCATTTTAGGTTGTTAATTGTTCCGTATTGTAAAAATGCCTGGACTATGTTAAGAACGTGGAGCTATGAAATCAGATATCCTGTTCTGAGCAAGTTACCTAACATTACTAAGCCTCAGATTCTACTCCAGTAAAACGGGATAACAAGGATATTCTGAAATTTTAATTTGTTCTTCTCAATATATTTTAAATGCTCAGCACAACATCTAGTACACTGCAATCAATAATATGTCTGGCGTTTCTTAAGAATGACAATGCTTGAAACTTATGTTCTATTTTGTTTCCAATCAAGATGGTCATTAAGTGATAGTGAATATTTGCACTTGATGTCCTTATTTGCCATAATTAAGACATTGCCCAAAATAACTGAACATATTACTATTATATGAAATCTCAAAATCTAAGAACCACTCATTTAGACGACCAAAAAAGGGTTATATGTAAAGATTTGATAAATAATCTGAAGATGAAGAATGTATACCATTATAATCCTATTGGCCATGATTTAAAAGCCAATAGGAAACAAGGAAATTCATATGTATTGAACACATAAATTTAAATAATTATTTTCTGTACATAAGGACTACAGTTTCTGAAAATCTTAAAAATAAGCATTCAAAATACTGTGTTTGTGTATATCTTGTATTTTACTGAACTATATATTAAAAACTACAAAATGCTCACTACATATTAGTCACACTTCCAAAAAGCTAAGTGGAAGAGGGTTTTTAGTAATTCATAATATTTCCAACTGAAAACTGGAAGAATCTGTCAGAAAAAGTACTTGTGAAATATGGATTCATTTGTTAAAAATCAACTTTATGGCCGGGCGCGGTGGCTCAAGCCTATAATCCCAGCACTTTGGGAGGCCGAGGCGGGCGGATCACGAGATCAAGAGATCGAGGCCATCCTGGTCAACATGGTGAAACCCTGTCTCTACTAAAAATAAAAAAATTAGCTGGGCATGGTGGCACGTGCCTGTAATTCCAGCTACTCAGGAGGCTGAGGCAGGAGAATTGCCTGAACCCAGGAGGCGGAGGTTACAGTAAGCCGAGATGGCGCCATTGCACTCCAGCCTGGGTAACAAGAGCGAAACTCTGTCTCCAAAAAAAAAAAAAATCAACTTTATGAGGGTTTACTCTAGGTAGAATAAGACATCCACCCACATTTTAAATGCAGGGTTTGCTGAGTTTTGACAAATACAACCCATATAACCACCACAAAAATCAAGATACAGAACATTCTCATCATCCCAAAAAGTTCTCTAGTACCCCTTGAAACTTAGTCCTCACTACCAAACCCCAACCCCCACCCCAAGCAATATGGACCCTATAGACTACTACAGTTTTATCACAATTCTTGAAATGAGGTACCTATTTGGGGAGAATTCACATCTTAACATTTTTGAGTCATCTAAACCACAAACATCATGACATCTCTGCATTTATTTCGATCTTTTTCAGTTTCTTTCTCTCAGCAAAGTCCTGTCGTTTTCAGTGTAATAGTTTCACACATATTTTGATATATTTATTCCTAAGTACTTCATAATTTTTAACAGATCTGAAAATAACACTTTAAAACTTTTGTTATAATTAATAATTGATAATATAAGGAAAGACAACTAACTTTTTTTTTTTTTTTTGAGATGCAGTTTCACTCTTGTTACCCAGGCTGGAGTGAAATGGCGCAATCTCGGCTCACCACAACCTCCACCTCCTGGGTTCAGGCAATTCTCCTGTCTCAGCCTCCTGACAACTAACTTTGATATATTGAACTTATATTCTATAGCCTTGCTAAATTCTTTAGTATTTCCACATACACAGTTTTATTTCTTACTCATGAATTTGTATGCCTTTTACTTTATTTTTGAGAATGGAGTCTTCTCTGTCACCCAGGCTAGAATGCAGTGGTGCAATCCCAGCTCACTGCAACTTCCGCCTCCTGGGTTCAAGCAATTCTCCTACCTCAGACTCCTTAGTAGTTGGGATTACAGGTACATACCACCACACCCAGATAACTTTTGTATTTTTAGTAGAGATGGGGTTTCACCAAGTTGGCCAGGCTGATTTCGAACTCCTGATCTCAGGTGATATGGCCACCTCGGCCTCCCTAAGTGCGGGGATTAGTGTGAGCTACCATGGCTGGCCTGCCATTTATTTATTACAGCTTTACTGAAATAGCCAGGAGTTTCTGTCTGCACAATGTTGAATACAATGAAAGAGATTGGGCATCCTTGCCTCGTTCTTGATATTAGGGGAAAAGCATTATCTTACACTATCAAGTATAATAATAATGCTAGCTGTAGTTTCATACCTTTATCAGGTTGAAAATATTCCCTTTTATTCCTAGTTAGCTAAAAATTTTGTTAGTCACAAAAGGATTTGAATTCTTTCAAACATCTTCTCCAGAACTGGTAAGATGAGCAGATTTTATTTTGTATTCTGTTACACTGATTTTAAAATGTGAGTACTTTGTACAAACCCTACTTGGTA